GTATAGACTTTCCTAATATTTCCATCATTATAAACTAAATGATTACTGAAGTAATTTGAAACAATATAGAACAAGTCTCTTCAACTGATGTAATATGCAAGTACCACAGACTGCTAAAATTACTCTTAACATCCAAAGAAACTAGTGCTGATGTCTCTTTGTGAAGTTTATTTTTCTAAGTAGCTTTTAAGAAATCAGAAAAAGCCAATATGCTGCTTATCCCTTGTGTAAATCCATACTACTTTTCATTTTAACAGTATTACTTAAAAAAAGTAATTAAGCTGCTTAATCAACATTTTACCCCAACTTGAAAAAAGGAAAAATTCCCTTGCAAAGACATATATTATAGATTATATATGAAAGTTGGATTTCCTTAAAAAATATCTTGTATTATATGCACATAAAATGCGTCATTTCCAGGGACTCGTCCTTTTTTCACATTTTTTATCAGCCCAAAAATTTCATTACTAAATTCTAAATCTTCTAACTGGTTATCAGTCAATTTGCAAATTTTAAGAACTTCACTCTTTCATTATTATCAGTTAAACCAACATCATCTGGTAAGTGATAATTAATAACCTCTATAACTGTACTGATACCATCTTTTTTTTTTAAATGAGCTATTAAGCAATGCTTTTCTTTGTTTAGCAACAGAATAGAATCTAACAGTATTATTTTATTACAAAATGTGTGACAATGTAAAATAATCAGGGGTGTTTGTGCTCCGGGGATTTTGAACTTCGATCCCCGGAAATTCCAGGGATCGTCGTTCAAAAGGAAGTAGGAATAATAATGAATTATTTATTTTGATCTGGGTAATTTTGTTTGCTTTGAAAGCAGAAAACACAAGGTCAGTGTGTGTGGTGAAAACTTTTCCTTTCTTTCTCCAAAGGCAGTGATAATGCGTGAAAAGCGGGGAAAAAACTTTTTTGTTCTTTCCTTATTGCGAGTTATGACTCATTCCCCCCAGTTCTCGTACATTCCCTTCTGGATTCTTTTCGGCAAGTAGGCGCGGCAGAGAAAAAAGGGACAGACTTCGTTCGACCAGATGTGCGATCACGTGACTCTGGGTTCAAAGGTCTTATCTCTCCTGGCATGGCGCCAATAAGTAGAGAAGGGGGATTTTTCACCGTATTAGCTATTTGTCATTGATCGCTTCTCAACTTTTTTTTCTCCACTGTGTAAAATTTTCGTTTCATTTATTGATGCACGTGTAAATTTTTCGTTTCGTTTATTGAAATATTTTTTTATTTATGTATGCAAGAGAATTTCACTATGAAATTTCTCGATATAAATAGTGATATTATACAATTAGAAGAAGGTGTCCGGAATGCATTTAGGTGGAATTGGATTGAACGGAGAGATGGTAATGGGGATACCATCGGCACATGGTGCAAGAAAATAAATGTTGCTGGACAAGCATATTGTGTTTTTTGTAACTCACTGCTGAAGTATGGTGGGAAAGGATTCAAGGCTTTCACAAATCATTCTAAAAATGTGACGCACATAAAATATTCAAAGTGCATTAGACATTCAATGAATTTAAGTAATTATGCTAATTCAAAAAATACTGATGACTTACTGGAGACTGATGCTCGGCCATTGGATATAGTGACAAGAAAAGCACGCCAAGAGGTATTAATAACTTCGTTTATCACCGAGAATTCTCTTTCTTTCAATGTAGCTCCCAATTTAATTGAACTCTGCAAACAGTTGAGCCGTGATCAGACGGCACTAAACTCGTTGGAAATGTCCAGGACTACTGCATGTTATAAGATGAAATATGGGCTCGCAAAAACTATTGAGGAAAATATCATTAAAACTTTAAAGGAGACTCCATTTTCTCTAAATTTGGATGAAAGTACTAGCAATGCTCAAGAAAGTATACTGGCAATATTGGTGCAGTTTTATGACAACAATCAAAATGAAGTTGTAGTTCATCATTTTGCATCGCTAAAGATGGAATCTTGCAATTCAGAAGCTGTTTTTAAAGCAGTTGTTAATACTATTGAAGATAATAATATTCCATGGGCAAACTTAATTAGTGTATTAATGGACTCATGTAACACCATGCGTGGAAAAAAAAGGGTGTTGAAACCAGACTACGATCAAACAAAGCACCCCACTTATTAGATATTGATGGTGACACATGTCACACAGCTAAAAATGTGCCAAAAAAATTTGCTTCATGTTTTGATAGATACTTAGAAGATTTGTTTGACATCTATTTTGATATGAAAAGCTGCAGTAAAAGAGAATTTTTTTTCAAAATCTGTGAATCCCTTGCCATTAAAAAACTTAAGCCCTTGAAGAGACCAGACCATAGGTGGGTGTACATTTTATGTGTTTTAGAAAGAATCAAAGATCTGTGGCATGCTCTTATTGCATTTTATTTTCACTACTTGGATAAAACTGATAAAGGGGATTATTTTTCTTATGTTGAAACTGTACAATAAAAGAAATATTTCTGCAGCTCAGAAAAAAATTGTTGAAGGTTGTATTCTTGCTTGCATTCCCAACAACTCACAATGGATGCTTTAGCTCGGAAAAAAAGAATACTGAATGGGTTGTTATGCAAAACAAAACTTTATTGCATATGGCATTATATTCAGCAGTATTACCAGAGTTCAACACATATATTAAATTATTTGAAACAAAAAAACCAATGCTTCATTTAATACATTCCAGTATTTATAAATTGATGGCAAAATTTTTCTCTTTTTTTATGAAGCCAGAAAATATAAGTATATAGAGTGCACATCTTATAATGATTTATTAAAGGTTGATGTCACAAATCCAGAATTCTATCTACCTAGCAAAGTAAATTTGCTGGTGCAGAAGCTTCCACTCTCCTGAAGAAATTATCAAAAAATCATCCAATAGCAAAAGAATTCCAAATTTCTCTGATGAAAGCTTATACTAATATAGCACAGCATATGAAATGAAACAGAAATTACCCCTTAAAAATTCATATCTAATTAGTTTTACAGCATTAGATCCAGAGCTAAAGAGGTAAAACCAGTACAATATTAGCTTTTGAAAAATTATCATCTTTATGTCCCATATTTTTTAGTGATAATGAAAAGTCAAAAGTAGAAGCTGAAATAAGGTTATACCAGAGTGATATTGATATCACCAAAGAAATGCTCTACGCATCTGATGAAAGTGGAAATCAAGTCAAGTGTACAATTGATAAATATTGGTCTAAAGTTTTTAATTTAAAAGATGATTTCACAAATGATTATAAGTATCCTACATTGGCTAAATTGGTCAAAGCCTGCCTTAGCTGCTTCCATGGTCCATTAGTGGAAAGTGCATTCAACTTAATGGATACACTTGTCACTGACTATAGAACCTCTCTTAAGATTGATTCCCTAGATGCAGTGCAGACTATTAAATATGATTTAATGGCTTCTAAAGAAACCTCATGTGAAAAATATGGCTCAAAAAATCCAATGACTGATCCAATTCACAAAGATCTCTTACTGAATATGAACAGAAGTTGGAAAACATATCAAGAGGACTTAAAAACATGTATTTCAGATGAGTCACATATAAAAGTCTCTGAAAAACCTTCTACATTAGCAGAAAAGCAAACTGCTTTTACTTCCGCATGTGCAGAGTTCTCAAGGAAATTTCTTCAACTGTAAATGAGGAAAATAAAAGTCAACCTTCCTGCAATTATGAAGTTCACCACAAAAGAAAGACAAGCCCACAAACATCAGAAAAATAAAAAAAAAAAAAAAAAAAAAGCAGCAGAAATTAGATAAATTTTTTTTAAAGAATTAATTCAGGTAATTTAAAATATTTACATAAAATGTAGTAGTTTATATGTTTGAAAATTTATAGTTATTAATTTTGCAAAAAAAGTAATTCATTGAACTTTTATAATTAGGTCATTCAATACTTCATAATTATAATTTTTCATTTCTCTCCCCCCCCTTCTCGAAACTCCAAAATGTCGATTAGTAAGTCCGTAAAAGTTTCAGGGGATTTTTTGGGGTCCCACAAAAACCCCTGAACAATTAAATGTCTTTAGACAGTCTTTAAATGAAACTGTGATCTTAAAAATAAAGCAGGAAAAGATGCTCTCATAAAGCAATGCACTTCAGTTCTTTTAAGCATATTGTTCATACTTTAATTTAAAGAGCTTCAAATTTTAAACAGCATAAAAAAAGAGGGAGCTAAACTACTTCAGATTATAATCTAACATCTCAGATTTTCACCACTAAACAACAACAACACCAAAAAAAATTAAAAAACCTATTTTTGTCAAATGATAAAACAACATACTAAATCTAGAAATAAAATTCAACTAAAAACAAAGCAAAATAAAGCTTTTTCCTGCTTTATTTTTACGTATGCCTGGTGTTTAATTCTGAATGTCTTTAAAACAGTTTAATTAGAAAAATATCAAGCTATTAAGATATTATCACTATTTGGGGGGGGGAATTATGGCTTGAATTTATATATATAAGACAAACAGAAAAAACAATACTTCAGTTTAAAACAAAATTTCATCACTACCATTACACTTATTTTTGATGTACACAACAGTACATACAAGCATAAAATTAAAAAATTTCGCAATCAATATCTATATTATATGGAGTTGTACTAATATAAAAATATCACATCTTGAAATAATAAAAATGTAAAAATAATGTATGTAAAAATATTAAAATGTTATTAAAAGTGCATATGAAATTATTTTGTCGAACAGACACACAAAAGACTTTTGTAATAGGAAAGCTTCTAGACTTCACACACTGTCAAAAATTTCGAATCTTTTTTGTTGCAGATAAATACAGCAACATGAAAAGAATAATAATCCTCATAACTGCAGAAAGGTTAGCATTAAAATATTTAAAGGCATCTCTATTAATTTTTTTTAAAATCAGTTTTAACTTTATTGGTTATAAAAGTATTCAAAAATCTGTCCAAGTTCAGCAAAAATTTTGTTATATATATACATTAGAAATATTCTTAACAAATTATACCTAAAGGTCCTCTAGCAGCCCTTTCTCTTGCTTCTGCCAAAGCTTTTGCTTCTTCTTTCTTTTTTTGCTTCATTTCAGCATCCTCCTACAATGCAATATGAAAATGCTTTTAATGCATATTATAATTTTTGTATGGGACTGTGATCAACAAATGCAAACGGCTGTTAAACTTTTTTAGTTACTTATGTGATATAAAAAATTTAACATACACTTAACTGCTGTAAAAAATGATGTCATATAAAAATGACTCAATTAAAAAAAACTAAGCTATCATGCAATGATATTACATCACAATGACTGTCAAGGAAATGGTCCATTTGCTGGCATCCAAGAAGAGAAGCCTATAAATTAGTTGTCAGAATGAAAATGTTGGATGTACAGGAATGGAAAAACAAAAGGGCTTAATAAAGAAATGGTTTGTAAAGGAAAGGGGTGCATGAAAAAGTTGAATGGGCAAGGATCGACTCTGAACACAGAGTTAACAGTGCCTTGCATTTTCACCGGACAAACAAAATGTTCTCACCACTTCATTTTTAGTTTGAGTGCTATAAACTGGTTTGCTTGTGAAGTTCATAAATGAACTCTGATCAATGAATGCAGTTTATTTTGCTATTTTTCAGTAATGATATTGATTTGACTTTTTTAATTAAATAAATTTATGTAAGTCATGCACCATACTACAGTACAAAGTCTGAGATCCGGAATGATCTAAAATCCAGACCTTAAAACCACCAACAAAATTTGTTTTAGGAATTTTTTTAATGCTTTACGCATGCGCATTTGATTTTTCGCCCCGTAAAAAAGCATGTGGAGAATCCCGATTCTTCATTTTACTTCGATACTGAATAAAATACTTTGAAGAAATAATCACTTTAGCATAAATTTGTGCAATCAATAGTTTGGCACCATTGCTGCGTATCTGCTTTTCCAATTAATGGATTTTGTAAAGAAATGTGGAGAAGCGGTAATAAGATGATGTAACAGAAGTTTTTCATTGTCATGGCAATGTTGCAAACATCAATCAACGGCCGGCGAAATCTGTAGTATCGTTCTAAACCTAGCAAATACCATTACTGATAGTGAAGAAAGTGATGAGAGGTTATTGAAAACGAAAAAAATTCATTTGACAAGTTAGTCGGAATTCTCGATGCAGCAACCAGAGACTTGAAGAGTGGAACTTCGTTATTGAACAAGAAATTATGTCTGTCTATAGAATTGAAGAGAAAGTATAAGCACAAAAAATGAAGCAACTTAAACAATTTACATTCAAAGAAATGTTTAATAATAAACAAATATTAAGCTTTTTTTTTTTTTTTGTTGTTGTTGTTGTAAATTTTGACACTTTTTAGATATCATAGATGCTTCATTATTTCATAAATCACGATTTCATTTTTTAAATTTTTTTGCATGCCATCTCACTAGATTTAAATTGATGATCTAATATCCGGAATAGCCAAGTCTCGATGAGTCCGGATCTTAGACTTTGTACTGTACTAATTAATTTTATATTTTTCGTAACCATTTCTTTATTATATGAAATAGATAATTTCAGCAAAATGAAATGTCATTTTGATATTAATGATGAGAATACTGCTAGGACTGGTACACTTGCAGATGGTGCAAAAGAGCTAAAACTTGTGATACGATGAATACTTAAAATTCATATTTACTTCGACCGGAAATACAGATTGTCCAACTCCTCTCTACATCATATGCAGAAACTCGTGAATAATGTGAAGATGCCATTAAATTATAGCATCATTTTTTAACTGAACATAAAAATGTTTCATAAAAAAATGAATTCTTCAAAAATTTTTAGAAATGCAAGGCAGACAAAGAAGATAATTTGAGAAAACATAAAAGTAAGTGATAAATTTCAACTCGCATCAGATAAAATTGTTGCATTAAAATTAAAACCACATATGGTAGCAGAAACTCTCACTTTACTCGCCTGCTCTGAAATAGTGACAATTACATATGGGGAAGAAGCAAGGAAATTTTGAAAATTCCAGTATCTATTGACACAATTCCCAGAATCAATGACATACCCTGCAATACTTAACAGTCACTGATGAACTTGTTAACATACCTTTATATTACAAGTTGATGAATCAACTGATATAAGTGGCAAAGTGCATCTGCATCTCTTAGGCTTTGCACAATTTACTTATGAACAGAAGAAACGGAATCAATTTTTGCACTACAGAGAATTTTTTAAGCATGCAGTTGTCCAGATCTTATATGAAGTGATAGTGGCATATTACATTATGTTAAAATTATGACAAAATCAATGTGTTAGTATTGGAACTGACGAATCAGCATCTATAATACAGTCAAAAGTCGTTAATCCGGACTCGTCGGGACTTCGGCGATTCCGGATTATCGATTTTTCCAGATTATAGGTCATCAGTTTAAATCTCGTAAGATGGCATGCAGAAATTCTAAAATTAAAAATATGAAACTGTAATTTATGAAATAAAGAACAATTATGATCTAAAGGGTTCAAAATTTACACACACACACACCACAACACAAAAAAAAAAAAAAAAAAAAAAAAAAAGCTTAATATTTATTGTTTACTTTATTAAACATTTCTCTCAATGTAAGTTGTTTAAGTTGCTTCATTTTATGTGATAATGCTTCTCTTTAATTCTATAAAAAGACATAATTTCTGTGTTCAGTTACAAAGTTCCGCATTCAAGTCCCCATTAATTGCTGTGCCGAGAATACCGACTAACTTGTCAATCGAAAATTTTTTCGTTTTCACTAACCTCTCTGTCACATTCTCATGTCTTTATCCATTTTTTGCAGCAGCAATTCCACATTTTGTTTGTTGGACATCGAAAACACACTTTCGTTTTGTAGATCCTTTGGGAAGTTCCAAACACGAAATTTATTTGAAATAATCGAAAGTTCAAGTTTTACTTTTATAAAATTGCTCTTACAGTCTGCAAAAAATAATAAGCGGGATCCAATTCGAAGATTAAGGAACAACGCAATCATTAACATTAACTGAAATAGATAATTAGATAATTTTAGCTTACACCGTCCGTTATACATTAAACGCGCAGGCGAAAACGTATTCTGCACTTGCGCACACGCATATGCGCAGTAGTCAAGGTCTTACGCGCACGCATAAAACGCCTGTGCCGACGCGATGCATGCGCAGAAAATTTTTAGCTTTGAGGTTCAACTTATGGGTGACCCGAATTAACGACTTTTGACTGTAGTATCAGTCTAAGGATTTGTGACTTTAGTGAAAACTGTCAATACAAATATTGTATCTTCTCACAGTGTCCTGCACCAAGAAGTACAGGGTGATTATACTTAAAGTTCCACTTTCAAAATCCTGTAGATAAAGAATCACTTGTCAGAATGACCTGAAAATACATGGAGCAATGGGAATTTGTCTGTTGGAAAAAAAAAAAAAAAGTTCAAAATTTTATGTAAATGCTAAATTAAAAGACATGACATGTACACTATACATTAGACTTAACCCTTACACACAGGTTACAGAGACTAATTTTTTATATACTGAATCCGGCAGGGAAAATGAGAGAAAAAAAAAAAAAAAAAAAGCAACAAGGTTTGCCATTTTCTGCTCCACATTAAGTAATAAATTACATATCTCTATTGTGATTTTTTTCCCATTATTTATGTAGTGAATACATACCATCAATGTCTGTCAAGATCTACAGAAGATAATTTGTAAATTCGAAGAGCCCACTTCATTTGACGCAAATTCGGGCAGAGGAAGGAAAGCAGTTGCTTCGATACGAAGGAAAGATGAGGGTATAGAACTGCAAGAGAAACAAGCAGCAATCAGGGAATGTGCATCCCAATCAATAAAATTTTACGAAACATTCTACAATGCTGTGGTACGCATCTCACATCTTTTAATTAGCATACAATGACAAGTATAGTGCCATCTATTAACCCCTTAAGGCACACATTAATTTCTAATTTTCGGTCAAAAAATCACCTATTTTTTTTCTTGCATAATCATGCCAGGATTAGCTTCAAATCGAAATCTCGGTGGTGAACGTTGGTTGATTTCTACTAATTTGATACCAATTCCTTGCTATATCCAAAATCTCGTTGTCATTATCTTCCGATTCACTTCCATCATCTGAGAAATCATCATCTCATCGCTGAAAATGTCTGATAAATTGGCATATTCAAATTGTACCGTCGAGTCGCTCATTATCAGATAACTTTTTAAATTACAAAAACACTTAGTAATATAATTTGCAGTAACTGCTATTTATTATATTACCGAAAAAAATGGATATTTACCTTTCCACACCAAACGATACTTTATAGCAAGAATTCCTAGCAAACTTATAGTAATCATCAAAATGGCCACGTGGTTTACACAGAAAAATGCTGAATAGTGGTGCCATCTATGTCAAATAAGTTTAATTAAATCTAGCCTATTTATTTTACGGGGAAGGATCTCAGACAAGAATAGAAATAAATACGCGAGAAGATACAAGGGCACCCGTGTGAGACACGGGCATGTGCAAATTTGCCGGAAACTTTCGCCCGTGTGAGACACGGGCAAATGCGTTAAGGGGTTAATAAAATTTTGAACTATTTTTTTCCTTTTCATCAGACATATTCCCATTGCTTCATGTATATTCACGTAACATTTCAGCTCATTCTGACCAATGGTTCTTTTACGACCTTTTGAAAGTGGAACTTTAATTATAATCACCCTGTACTCATTATAAAGACAATGCCCAGAATCAATCATTTTAACAAAGTATTGGATGAAGCAGTTTTCATTGTTAATTTCATTAAAATAAAACTGATGAAAAGTCGAATTTTCAAACAACTTTGTTCATCTGTGGAAGAAAATTATGAATATTTACGTTGAAGACAGAAGTAAGATGGTTGCCACATGGAAAAGTTTTAAATCATGTGTTACAATTAGCAAACAGACTACTGTTATTTTTTTAACTACTGCAACTTTCGGAAGACAGCTCAAAAAGGATAACTAGTGCAATAATTTGGTTTATATCGCTCACAAAAAAAGGGGGGGTTGGGAGGATGAAAACATTCTTACAAATTACTTGCAATCAA